ATGTAAATGGCATGTGTGTGGCATTACCAACTTTGTTACAGTTTTTGTCCTGTGAACAAGTAGTGATCACCGATCTCCTCACTCAGCTTTGTGTCAGAGGTAGGAAGTTGAGAAGTAACAATCTGAGGGATCACTCACCACCCCTGCCACCCACCCACTGAAATGAAGGTACTTCTGCTTGTTCCCCCACACCTCAAGGCAGCTAGTGCAACAGGGAGGTGGCCTCCCATCTTGATAATCTATCTACAAAAACTTTTAAGCATCCTCCTTAGGTTTAAGAAATTCCTTAACCTCAGCTCTAAGACATGGAGGCCATTTGCTTTTTTCCCCCCTCAGAATCCAATTGCTTGGAAATACTTGAATAGTCTCTTAAGGGACCCCAAAGTCTTAAGTAGGACTCCTAAAGCCATTTTTTTTAAAGCTCTTTCTACTGGACCTAGAGCCCATAGAGCTGGGTTTACTTTCTCTAAGATTTTTGTTGTTCCATCACTAAATCATGCCTGATGCTTTGTGACCCCAAGAACTGCAGCACAGCACACTTGCTTCCCTGTCCTTCACTATCTCCTGGAGTTTGTACAGATTCATGTCCATTAGTCAGTGATGCCATCCAACCATCTCATCCTCTGTTGCACCCTTCTCCTCTTGCCCTCAATCTTTCCCAATATCAGGATCTTTTCCAATGAGTCAGCTCTTCACATCAGGTGACCAAAGTATTGGGGCTTCAACTTTAGCATCAGTCCTTCCAGTGAATATTCAGGGTTGATTTCCTTTAGGAATGACTGGTTTGATCTCCTTGCTGTCCAAAGGACTCTCAAGATATGGGCCACCAAGTTTTCAGGTTCTATTATATGCTCTTCCAGGGCTGGTGAAAGCTGTGTTCCTCCTTCCTGATATATATGCCCATTCATAATGAAACAAGAGGGAAGAGGGCAAGGCACATCTTTTAAAAGCCTGACATAGCCACAGGACATGAAACAAAACAAAACTAGTTATAACCAACCAGGTCCAAGATGGTGGAAGATTTGACTTCCAGTAGAGCTTGCGACTCATTATATGCTTATTGTAATACATTAGCATGCTAAATGACACACTAACCAGTGCCATGACTGTTCAGAGGCTAAGCACAAAAGACCAAAAAGTGTATAGTGGCCCAATTCCTGGAAATCCCCAACTCCTTCCCCAGAATTAGTTAGAATAATTCTCCCACTCATTAGCCTTTGAAATTACCCAGCCCATAAAAATTAACCATACCATATTCTGGCATGTTTTGCCTTCTGAGATGGCCCACACCCTGTCTGTGGAGTGTTTTTCTCCTCTAAATAAATCCACTTCTTACTTCTCACTTTGTCTCTTACTGAATTCTTTCTGCAGTAGACATCAAGAACCTGAGCTTCATTAAGTCCTGAGATCAAGTGTGTGATAGCAATTTAAAAGAAGCCAGGTTCGAGTCTCAACCTGCAGGTTGAAGTCCCAATCTGGCTTCCAGCTGGGTTCGAGTCCTGGCACATGGGTTCAAGTCCCAATCAATGTTGCATGGTTTCAGTTAGGTCAGAACTTATAGAAACTTTTACTTGAAGGGTCCCATTTCACATACCAATGGTTTTCCTGTTAGATCTGCCCAATGCCCCTTTAACAGCACACCCCTGTTGGAACATTCTTCCAAGGTGGTCAAGACTGAACAGAAATGGCTTCAAGAACTATTAAAAATTCTACTTTTTCTTCTTCCACTTCTTAGACAACCCAGGGCTCCTCTGGGGAGATCGGGATTATATCCCAAGGAGCCAACTAGGGAGCCCCTAGGCCCTGTCAGTGCTCCTCTGCTTGTGGCCCCTTGCACTCTCCATGGCCCTCCTTCACAGAGGACGATCGGGGCACTCCCTTCTACTTACTGTCTTCCTTCTTGCTGAAGCACATTGACTGGGCCTGCACCTTGGTCCCTCAGCATCTTCACCTGCACTCATCCATCCGTGCCATGGGTTACTCAGTGTGGCCTAGGGGGCAACAGCCAGGAGAGTGGCTTGTCTCTTTAGCGACTTGTCCTCCTTTTCTTCCTCAGCCAATATCTGGGTTATTGAACACTCCCAACAGAAATACTCACCAAGTGAGAGTTTGGGGGCATTTGGACCCACTGCTACTTTCTGCAACTTTCCTTAGATGTTGGGGGCCACTCTGAGGTATAAAGTATAACTGCTGGGTCACTCTCAGGGGCATCTCTATTAAGAGATGTATACTGTCAGAGGCATTCTCTACCTTCTCTAAGAATGTTGACGGATTTTCATTGCCTCCTGTTGAGTGTTTCTGACTTTTCCCATTTATAGGTCTCCAGCCAGCAGCCTTCGTCCCTTTAAGTAGGAGACTTCAATAATGCTCAAGTTGGGCCCTGCCCAGACTCTATGGGATCCCATGTGGGTCAGCGGTGGGCACCACTCCTGTAGCTGGTCTCCAGATCTGGTGATTGGGCTGAGTTTGGTGTTGCTGTAGCCCCATAAGGCACTGTACTAATGGGTTCTTGTATCCACTTTTCTAACCTTTTGCAATAAAGATCCAACTGCAGGATATTGTTACAATTTAGAGACCTATCTTCTGGCCACTTTTCTTGATTTTCTATTGAGTATTGGGGCCAGGCAACATTCCTGAGAAACGCCATCTGGTATTTTGCATGGGTCAATACCCAAAAGATTTCCAATTTACAATACATTCCAATGAGCAACAGTTGGGAACAGAAAAGTTGTTTTCCATTCTGATGTACCACAGGGAGGCAGCCATTCTCAAGGGCTGACTAATGTGAATTATAGATACCAGAGTTTGCTTGTCCTGGGCCTGAAGGTAGCTTTTCCTATGGTTGCTAAGGAACTCAATTTCAATTAATTTATTAACAGATAAGACAGTCAGATATTGAAGATGAGACAAACAAGGCAAAAACATAAACTAGAACCCTATGACTCAAAACCAGGGTGAACCTAGACCAACAGCCAAAGCCCCAGAAGTCAAACCTTAGTTTAGTAGTCAGCTTCTGCCACCTGGGTGAGCTCAAGAACCCTATCCACCTATGTGTTCCCTGCACCCAAAAGTCTCTTGTTTCTTATTAAAAAGGGACTCAAATTGCCCCCCACCCCCATCACAGAAAAGGTGGCTTCTAAACCAGAGGTCTGCAGTTTCCCCCTGGAAGGAATGCAACCTCCTACAGTAGTAGGAAGGAGTTCTCATTCACAGAGACCTCCGGTCCCTTAGTGGCAGGAATGCAACCTCCCAGTGACAGAAATCAGAACCTGGTCTGGAACCCAGGGTGAAACCAGAAACCCAAGCCCAACTGAATTCTTTTCATATTCTGCTCTAAAAAGTGAGGCTATCCTGACATCCCCACCCACTGTAGCACTGATTCTGAATTCTACTCACCCTCTAAAGTCTACTGGCATTGAACAGAGCTGTGCAGGTGGCCACTTGGCTCACAGAGAATGAGCCAGCGAGCAGTCTGAACCAGTAGACACCCAACAGAACAATGTTTGACCAAGAGGACCTGGACAATCTGACCAAAACCAGAAGCAAATTAGTCCACTTCACTCCAGTGTGGCCAGCTCTCCTTGTCCCTGGCCGGGGCACATGTCCGACCAGAATTGCCAGAAATTGTACAGAACTCAACGGGTCGATCGTTTGGGATGCTTGTAAGGAGACAAGGGCTAGCTCTCAAAGCACGGTTTCACTAATAGCAGATGCTCAGTAAATGTTGTTCAATGAATAAGTGCCTTAGGAGAGGAGCAATGTGCCTACAAAACCCTCAGGATGTGGCCTCAGAACCTCTGACCTCAGTGTGGTATCTAGGACACCCTTTCCGGGTCTGTGAACATTTTCTCTGCAAAGTGCAGTTATTAGAAAGGAAGGTCTCCAGCACCAGCAGGACTTTCTGAGGCCCTCCCCCATATCAGCTCCTCTTTGAAGTACCTAGATAATATAGATAACAGTATTTGATGCAAGTTTCCTGAGTTGTTTTGTAGACATGAACCCGGCTCCCTCCACCCCTCCACCAAATGAAGAAACTGCCTTCTGCCCCCTGCGCCCGCCCCTCACCCCCAAATCTGCCCTTTAAAAATGCTTTGCCAAAATCCTTTGAGGAGCTGGAGACTTTTCAGGGTATGAGCCAACTTGTTTCCTTGCATGGCCTTGCAACAAACCTTTCTCTGCTCCAAACTCAGACTGTTTCACTGTTTGGCCTTACTGTGGGTTTGGCACAGAAACTCGCATTAACAGGTCCCTTTATTTATTTTTTTTTTCTTCATTTTTTTTTTATTAGTTGGAGGCTAATTACTTTACAATATTGTAGTGGTTTTTGTCATACATTGACATGAATCAGGTCCCTTTAATAGCTCTCAGACTACAGGAATCTTGAGAACAGATCTGAATTAAGGGTCGGAAACCAAGCCATCGGACAGCGAGGAACAGAGGAATCCAGTCTCTTGAAGTTGGTCAGAAGAATCAGACGACAGGACAAGCAGGGGTGGACAGAGGTCAGGGAGCAGATGGCAGATGACGACGGTGGGGGTGGGAAGCACAGCGGTTAGAGCCTGAATCCCGGAGCAGCTGGGCTGCAGCGCGGGCTTCTCACTCACTAGCCACGCTGCACTGAGATCCGCGCTTGACTTCCCCAACCTTCTATCTTAGCGAGGGAGGGCGGGAACCAGGATTGCACCTCCGTGGCAAGGGCGTTGTGCGGACTGAAAACGACCATGGCCCAGAGCAGCGCTCTACCACGCTGGAGGCAGCTGGGCAGAGGCGTGGCGCGGCGACGGCGAGGGAGCGGAGGTGCGGTGGGGGCGGGGCACGAGGCGGGGGGACACCCCCCGGGTTGGGGAGCGGAGAAGGAACGAGGATCCCGGACGTCACGGGGGGTCGGAGAGGGCCGGGCCGCAGCCGGAGGGGCGGGGCCCGGGGCGCGGAGGTGTTCCCGGGGGCGGAGGGCGGTGACCCGCGCCTAAAGCCTACCCGGCCCCCGGGACTGGAACCTGGCCCGCTCCGGAGCCGCCGCGCTGAGACTCTGCAGTGCTCGCGTCCCACCGCGTCCCGCCGCCCGCACCTGTCGCTCAGCGAGCCGCAACCGGGCCCCAGCATGACGGACCAGGCGGCCTTCGACACCAATATCGTCACCCTGACCCGCTTCGTCATGGAAGAGGGCAGGAAGGCCCGCGGCACGGGCGAGATGACCCAACTGCTCAACTCGCTGTGCACCGCGGTCAAAGCCATCTCCACGGCCGTGCGCAAGGCGGGCATCGCGCACCTGTGAGTCAGGCCTCTGTACCCCCCAGCCACCACCCTGGCCGAGTCCCCTTTCTCTCTGGCTGGGGATCTACCAGGCAGTATGGTGTCTGGTCCTCTGCCCCTGCGGTCAGTCTTCTCTCTGATAGCTGGGATACCCACACCGTCTCTCTGGTAGCTCCTCTGCAGAAGCTCGAACCACACTCAAGCCCTGGTTCCCCCCTCCCTTAAGCTTGTGGGCGCCCACCTGGGGGATCTGTCGCACAGTCCACACTTGCCTCCACCCTGCAACCGGCGCCCCTGGGCTGAGCAGCCTTGGCACCTCTCTCGGCCTCCTGGTGAAACTGACTGGCCCCATGGGCACCTGGCCTGCCCACCACATCCAACCCTAGCCTCGAATGGGAAAGTCATGGTCCCCACGCCTCCCTGTCCATTTTTCTAACCTTTTGCTTTCACTCCCTTTGAAATTGGGGTCCCAAGTCAGGTTTCTAATCGAGTATGTCCTTGACGCTGAACAAGTCTTGTTAAGCAGCAGCAGGGAAGCCGGGTTGGGAGGAGGCTGGGAGGAAGCCTGCAGGATTTAGTGTCTTCAGAGCTTCAGTGCTGGTGTACATGGGGCTGCAGAAGGTCTGGGGTGGGGCTTGAGATACTGGATTTCTAAGTTCTGTGGTGGCAGAGCTGCTGGTCTGCAGATCCCATTGTACGTAGCAAAGGAATGACAGGACACAGGGATTCAGAGGGTCCTTCTTGTGAGGCTTTTATGTTACTAAGACAAATACCCTTTGGTTTATTCTGGTGTGCACAAGTATTTTATGTGTAGACTGGTCCTCACTTTAGCTGAAGGATACTTGGGTTTTCAGATTGCTCATATTCCTTCCTAGTATTTCTTATACTTAGGAGCACTTCATAAGCATTGTACACAGTGCTCATTGCTGATCTGAAAAAGCCCAACCCCTGAAACCTGGATTCCTTCTCTTGTCAGTTCTTCACCTTTGGTTTTATGGTATGGCTTGGTAGAGCTAACTTTAAAAAGTTTTTTTTTTTTTATCTTATATTGAAGTATAGTTGGTTAACAATGTTCTGCTAGTTTCAGTTGTACAGTAAAGTGATTCAGTTGTATTTATACATGTATCTTTTTCAAAAACTTTTCCCATTTAGGTTACTACAGAGTATTGGCAGAGTCCCCTGTGCTATACAGTAGGTCCTTATTGGTTATCTGTTTTAAACATTAACAGTGTGTACATGTCAATCCAATCTCCCAATCTATCCAAGCTGACTCTTAAGGAAAGAGATTATCATCATTTATTTGCAGATGTCAAGCAAAGTTGGGCCCTGATGGGAAAGGGATTGGGAAGTGTGTTAGGAAGGTGGTGTCTCCATTACTATTTCACCTATGGACCTTCTTAATACATGTCTAAGGACACTTTGCTTTAGGAAACACATTCAATTAAATTCTTACTTTAAACATAACATACAATAAGTAAAAGTGTCCTCACAGCTTTATCTGACTTTGAAAACCAGGGGGGCTTATTTAAAAAGTGAAGGGAAATGAAAGTAACTCAGTCATGTCCGATTCTTTGCAACCCCATGCACTGTAGCCCACCAGGCTCCTCTATCCATAGGACTTCCTACTCTTTTAAAAAAGAGTGCTTGTCACTTTTGTATTATTTTAAAATGTGTCAGCATTCTTTCCCCAAAGAGACTCAGAAACACAAGATCTGCTCTGGGGTGCATCTTTCCCCCCTTAGGGCTTCCCTGGTGGCTCAGATGGTAAAGCATCTGCCTGCAATGAGGGAGACCTGGGATCGATCCCTGGGTCAGGAAGATCCTCTGGAGAAGGAATTGGCAACCCACTCCAGTACTCTTGCCTGGAAAATTCCATGGACGGAGGAGCCTGGCAGACTACAGTCCATGGGGTCGTAAAGGGTCGGACACAACCAAGTGACTTCACTTCTTTTTTTCCCACCTTATAAGTAACCTCAGATAGTGGGACCATAGGTAGTGGGATATTAGTAGAACCTGGGCAAAGGGTGCCAATTTTGGCTGTATGAATTGTGTATATTTTTTAAACTAGACACCTGTAAGCACTAGTTAAAAAATAGTTTTTGCTATAGTTAAAATTCCTTTATATGTTGTGTGTGTGTGTATGTGTGTGTGTGTTAGTCATTCACTTGTGTCCAGCTCTTTGCAACCCCATGGACTGTACTGTCCATGAAATTTCCAAGGCAAGAATACTGGAGTGGGTTGCTGTGCCTTCCTACAGGGGATCTTCCTGACCCAGATATTGAACTTGGGTCTCTTGCATTGCAGGCAGATCCTTTCCATCTGAGTCACCAGGGAAACCCTTTATATGTTACTCAACAAAAATTCAAACCACTCAGAAGAACACAAAGGGAAAAGTGAGACCCACCTTTATCCATTCCCTGGGGTATCCACTATTCATAATTTACGGGGTTCCTTTTTTTTTAACTAGATACTTCTCTATATTCATATAAATTTATACATGGATAAGCATTTCCATGTGACTATTTTTAAACGGCAAACAAAATGGGATCACACTTGACATGCCTTTCTGCAGTTTGCTTTCTTCATTCAACTCTATATAATGAGCATCCTCCAATGTCAGGACATGTAAATTCGCCTCCTCCCTTTTAACTGCTGCATAGTGTTCACTAGGGCTTCCCAGGTGGCACTAGTGGTAAAGAACTTGCCTGTCAGTGCAGGAGACTTTAGAAAACCAAGTTCGATCCCTGGGTCAGGAAGACCTCCTGGAGGAGGGCATGGCAACCCACTTCAGTATTTTTGCCTGAAGGATCCCATGGACAGAGGAGCCCAGCAGGCTATAGTTCATAAGTTTGAAAAGAGCTGGACACAACTGAAGTGACTTAGAACACACAGTGTTCCTCTATACAGCCATATCATGAGCTATTTGACATTTCCCATAAATTTGGACATGTCACTGGTCTTTCACTATTTCAGAGAGCATTGTACCCATGAAATGGGCATTTCACATGGTCATGTGGATGGCTGACAGAGAAAGAGTAGAACCTGAACATTCAGTACTCCCGTGGGAAAGTAAGTTTGACTGTCTCTGTATCATATGTAGTTGGGGAGGGGGCAATAAGATAAGACCTCAATTTGGGCTCCAAATTATGCTTATTATAGGCTTTGATATCCTGGATGAAAAGGCTAGAGTACCTGCAAATAACTTGTTAGTGCTGCCGACTTGCCCTAGTAGGGCATCTAGCCAGAGGGACAAGATGATTGCTACTTGCAGGAACCTTGTGGGACCAGTTAATGGAGGTCAGCCCTGACTCCTCATCAGGAACAGATCAGGAGTTTAAACATAGAGCCTGGAGCTCTCTCTCTCTCTCTCTCTTAAATTCTAGAAGTTACTGAGAGATGAGAAAGATACAGAGCTTATGCTTTAGGGAAAATATTACATGTATACAGTTATAATACAATAGAGAATCTTTTCAAAAGAGATTTATTTGGCCACATAAGCTGAGTTTTAGAGGCTGGAGAAAGGTAGGAAGATGATTCCAGGCTTAGCTGCAGCACTTGGATCTTGGTTCCTACCTGTGGGGGTCTTCTTTTCAGAATGAGGGATCTAGTTCCCTGACCAGGGATCCAGCCTGGGCCCTTTGTATTGGGAGCACAGAGTCTTAACCCCTGAACCACCAGGAAAGTCCCAGCAATAGAGATTCTGAAAGATAACTTTTGTATGGTTGGCAAAAATATGTGGATGTGAAAGATGGTGGCTCATCAAGATGAGCATTTGTAGTGGGCAGGCAAAGCTGGTCATAGGGCCTGATGGCTGGGCTGCCATGTGAGAGAGGTACAAGCTTCTTTCCAGGAAGATATTTCTGGAAAAGGTACCTATTTGGTTTGACTAAAACCTGGAACTCTTCATGTAATGTAGTGATGGAGCATTTGTGGATGTTAGATTGTGGGTGCATTGGGGGAACATTATGTGGTAAGGGTGAATACTTTATTTTTGAGGGGGTGACCAAAGGGGAGAGGTATAGGTTTTTGAGTGGAGCAGTGGCACGACTGGAGATTCATCTGGGGCATCTATGAGTGGAAGTACAGAGTTAGAAGAGAGAAAGTGAAGATATGGAAAACCAGCAGGATTCAGAACTAGAGGATCAGAGGAGATGGAGGGACCTGGGAGAAGTCTGGGTGGGGACTGGAGGAGAAGGACAGTGAGGGAGGTTCTCAAAGAGCAGATCCTAGCAACTGAGATCAGGGCTGTGATGTTAAAAAACAAAACAGCGAAAATAAAACCAGAATTCCAAGGGAAGGGCTGAGTTTTAGAGGCTAGAGAGGGCTTGGAAGATGATTCCAACATTATGGAGATACTGAACTTGAGGTGTGAGAGGGGCATCCTATTGGAGATGTCCAGCCTGCAGTTAGTGGCGACAGTCTGGAATTTGGGTATGAAGTGACTTAAGATTAGGCCTCTGGGTTTTGACGCATTCACCCTGAGATAGGCAGAGAAGAAAACCAGGACCTGATTTAGCAGAACAGAAACATGGGGGGCTTTAAGAGCATATTTTGGAGATAGATGGAGCTGGGCTCAGATTGGTGGCTCTGCTGTTTAATTTCTGTGAGGATTTGATGCCATCCTATGAGCACATTTTGGGCTGGCATGAACTTAAGCCAACACTGGGGTTTGCAGCCTCTGAAGCTGCTCTGGTTGGCACCTCTTCTTCAAAGTACAGTTGTCCCTAGCTGTCCACGGGGGATTGGCTCCATGACACCCCACAGCTACCAAAATCCACGGATGCTCAAGTCCCTTAGATAAAATGTCTGAGTACAGTCTGCCCTAGGTAATCTTGGGTTCAATTAATCACAGGTGGAAATTCGTGGATGCAAACCCCAGGATACCCAGGGTGGACTGTATTTCTGATCTGACCTTTGGACGTTCTGGGTTGGATGAATGGTTGGTCATTTACTTCAGAATCAATCAACAAGTCTGGTTACCTTCAGCTTTAGCGATAAGGATTAAATAATAATCTGCC